TTTCATACCTTTTTCCTTCTGCAACAATTGTAGTGATTTGGCCTCAAAAATTATTTTAGCTTCATTCTCCCTTCTTTTATTTCTGCACTCATTGTGCCATAGTTAGGCCCTTGACATTTCTTTCCTAGATGATTGCTATAGTATCTTAACTAGATTCCCTTCCTCTAATACTCCCTCTTCTAGTGTATATCCTCTCTCTTTACTACTATGTGAAAAAATGGTTCTTACTGGGTGTGGTGGTACATACCTATAATCTCAGCTTCTCAGAAATCTGAGGCAAGAGGATCAGAAGTTTGACTCCAGCCTGGGCAAATTAATGTCTCACAATAAATGAAATAAAATGAAATTTAAAAGAGACTGGGAGGGGGTGAAGGGTGCACAGGTAATGGGGAAAATAAATAAGAACCAAGATATATCATGTAGAAGTACAAACACCCAATGATAAATGTAAACGTATTGTATACCTAAAATGTACCAATAAAAGAACTAAAATTATAAAAAAAAAGGAGACTGGGGATGTAACTTACTGGTAGAGTACTTGCTTCGTATGCATCAGTTGAGGCTCTGATACAGAAAAAAAAAAGTTCTCAAACTTTTGGCATACAGGAATTCTTTTTTTTGGAGATGGGGTCTGGCTTTATAGTGCAGGCTAGAATTCTTTACACAAATTATTGAAGACCTTGAATATTCTATGATTATGAATTATGTTCATCATTATTATATTGGAAGTTAAAGTAGAAATTTAAAAAATAATGTATTGATTTGTAAGGATAACAAGCCATTACATGTTAACATATTAATATAAACTGAATTGTGTTCCCCAAATTAATATGTTGCAATTTCAACCTCCAATGTATTTGGAGATGTGACTTTTAGGAGTAACTAAAATTAAATGAGGTTATATGGGTGGACTTTTAATCTAATAGGATTGGTGGCCTCATAGGAATAAAGATCTCTGTCCACCATGCAGAGACTCAGCAAGAAGGCTGCTATTTGCAAGCAGGAAGAGAATCTTCACGAGAGTCTTAGACCTCTAACCTCTAGGTTGTATGAAAATACATTTCTATTGTTTAACCCCTTTTGTTATGGCAACTTGAATTGAGTGGTACAGATTTTGGTACCAAGAAGGGTGGTACACTGTAACAAATACCTAAATATATGGAAATGGCTGTAAAATTGGGTTTTGGGTAGAATCTGGGAAGAGTTTTGAGGGACATGCCTGAAATATGAACATTCAGGATGATTCTGGTGAGATCTCAGATGGTAATGAGGAATGTGTTATAGGAAACTAGAGGGAAAGTGATCTTTCTTATAGAGCAAAAAAGAATTTGAATAAACTATGTTCTGTGTTTTGTGGATGGTGGAATGTGACACAATGAAATTGGATATATAGCTGAGAATATTTCCAAGCAAAGTGTAGAAGTAATAGCTTGTTTCCTCTTGACTACTTACAGTGAAATATGAAAGAGGAGATATGGATTGAAGAAGGAATTGTTAAACGAAAAAGGAACCAAAGCCAGGTGCAGTGGCACACACCTATAATCCTAGGTGTCTGAGAGGCTGAGGCAGTAGGATGGCAAGTTCAAGTCCCATCTGGACAATTTAGTGATTTAACAAGACCCCATCTCAAAATAAAAAAGGGCTGAGGACATAGCTGAGTGTGAAGGCTGAGTTCAATACTCAGTACAGAGACAAACAGATATGAATTGAATTGAATATTGGATTCTTCAGGACTGGACCATAGTGCTGTTTAGCTACAAATGTGTACTGCCTTCAAAAAAGGCAGTAACCAACCCCTTCAAAGTATTGTTTAAGTTATATGGTCTGCAACACTTTTTTAAATGGCAGTCCAAGATAACTAATACACGTATCATAAAAAAAATTACTTCCCAAAACAAGAAAATTTCAGTCAGGAGGCTGGAAGTGTTTTTACATTTCTTTAAATCCTTTAATAGAAGACAGTTTATTTTCATGCTGTTTCTGTCCTGTTTGTTATATTATTTTCACTGAAGTACTGAGCAAAATCTGGTTTCATACAGAGATGTAGTTAGAAAAGGAAGGAAGATTTTAATAGCCTTTTCAGGAAATTATGGCTATTCTTTCTTTGTACTATATCAAGACTTGCTGGGGGCTGGAGATTTAGCTTAGTGGTTCTGCCGCTTGCCTCGCAAGCTCAAGGTCTATCCCCTGTACTGAAAAAAAAAAACCTTGCCGAGGGATACTTCCTGAAAATTTAGTTTCAGTGTAGAATCTGAACTTTGTATTCTTGTTTATATTTATTTTTTCTTTTTTTCTTTTTGGTACCGGGGATCGAACTCGGGTCCTTGCACTTGCGCAGCAGTCGGCAAAACCACTGAGCTAAATCCCTGGCCTCTTCTTTCTTTTTTTAACTTTGTATTCTTTATTAAAATCCATTCATTTGCCTTGCATTTTGGATTAATCTCTTTTGAATAATTTTAGAACATCACACAGTGATTATTTGGAAAGTACTTGCTGAGTGAGTTATATATATATCTTAAATGTTAATACATTTTATTGCAAAAGAAAACTCACCAAGGATTCTGTCCAGCTTTGTTTTGTTTTGCAGTACTAGGAATTGAAACTAGGGCCTTTCAAGGCAGGGGACATCACAATCCCTGACTTGAAATTATACTACAAAGCTACAGTGATTAAAAACAGCATGGTACTGGCAAAAAAACAGACCCGAGGATCAATGAAATAGATTAGAAGATGCAAAGACAGCTCCCAACATGCTTAGCCACCTTATCTTTGACAAAGGAGCCAAACACCTTCACTGGAAGAAAGATAGCCTCTTTAAATAAATGGTGCTGGGAAAACTTGCTTTCCATATGCCGAAGATTAAAACTAGACCCAACTCTCTTACCACGCACTAAACTCAAAATGGATCAAAGACTTAAATATTAAAACAAACACTAAATCTGTTGAAAGATATAATAGGTAGAACTCTTAAAGACATTGGTGTAGGCAGAGACTTTATGAACAGAACCCCAATCACATAGGAAATATCACAGAGAATCAACAACTGGGATTTCATTTTATTAAAAAGCTTTTGCATAGCAAAGAAACCAATAGAGTGAAGAGACAACCCACAATGTGGGAAAAAAATTTTGCCAGCTGTTCCTCAGACAGAGGACTAATATTGACAATATATAAAGAACTCAAAAAAATCAGACCCCCGCAAATTTAAAGACCCATTCCAAAAATGGTCATCTGAAATGAATAGACATTTCTCAGATAAAGAAGTAGAAAAGGCAAATAAATAGACAAAAAATCTTCAACATCACTGGTCAATTGAGAGATGCAAATTAAAACAACACTGAGATTCCATCTCACTCCACAAAGAATGGCTATTATCAAAAAAATCAACCAAAAAAATAAAAAAAAAAAGAAATTAACCAATAGCAAATGCTGGTATGGCTGTAGGGAAAAAGGGACCCTTCTCCCCTGTTGGTGGGAGTGTAGACTGGTACAACCACTGTGGAAATCAATGTAGAGATTCCTCAAAAAACTAAAACTAGAGGTTCCATTCAACCCAGCTGTTCCCTTTCTTGATATATTCCCGAAAGAATTAAAAGCATACTACTGGGATATATGCACACCCATGTTTATAGAAGCACAGTTTGTAATAGCTAAATCTTGGAAATAACCCAAATGACCATCAGCCAATGAATGGATAAAGATGTGGTTTTTTTTTTTAATATAATGGAGTACTACTCTGCCCTAAAGAAGGCTAAGCTTGAGACATTTCTAGGTAAATGGATGCACACCTTGAGACCATAGTCTAAAGTGAGATAAATTGGACACAGATGTTTAAATACCATGTGGTTTCTCTGGTGTGAGAAACCAAAAGTGTAAATAAGGACCAACCAAGAAACTTACACTGGTTTGACAGTAAAAGTATTTATTTTAAAAAAAAAAAAGGACCAAAATCTATAATAGATATTGGAAAATGGGAAGAAAATGTTCAAATGAGAGGGGGAACAAGGGAGGAGGAGAGGGAAAGGAAAGAAAGAAGAAAAAAAAAGAATAGAAAATGGAAACAAATCTTTTGTAAATAAGGGGAAGAAGGGTCAAAAGGTGGGGATGGGGAAAAAAGCAACATATATCATGTATAGGTACAAATTCTGTATGATGAATGTTATTAGGTATATCTAAAATACACCAATGAAAAATAATGTAAAAAAAAGAGACTAGAATAAAATACACAACATGAGAGGGAAAAATGCAAACTTGTGATCCTCCCAATTAGCCTCGTATAGTCCTGGTATTACAGGCCTGTATTACCATGTCCAGCTGCTGTGCTTTTTTTTTTTTCTTTTTCTTTTTTTGGTACCAGGGATCGAACTCGGGACCTTGCACTTGTGAGGCAGGTGGCAGAACCACTGAGCTAAATCCCTGGCCCTGCTGTACAGTTTTATATTTCCTCTGGTTAGAATATTCTTCATTTCACAGCCTTCTACTCATGTTTTATAGTGATTCACACTCAGTTCATATGTCACCTCTTTTCCACACCCTTCCATGCTTTCCCCAGAGAAAAATGAATTACTTTCTTTTCTTTGTCTTGGAACAGAACATACCTTTACTGTACCACTTGTCACGCAATTCAGACCATTGTTTACATGACTAAGTCTCATGGTATATTTAATTCAATTTAACAAGTCAGTGCCAGATGGTGTGGTAGGCTCCAGGAATATAAAAGTCAACAGTTTCAAGTGTTCATATTTTAGAGGGAAAACTGAAAACCAAATAGATAATCACATTATAATATTGTAAGTGCTAAAGCTGAGTTATGAACCTAATACTGTGGAGACAAATAAGGGACTAGATATAATTGTGTGCTTCTTGAGTGCAGAAGTGATTCATGCTTCTTTCGTCTTTGTACCTGCTGTGCTTAGCATACAGTAAGTAGACAATAAATGTTGGTTAAATAAAGATTTAACTTCTTTGAGTAAACTCTCATTTTGCCTCTTATTTTTCAGAATGCAAGGTATGGAGAAACCCGCTAAACCTTTTCAGAGGAGCAGAATATAGGAGGTATTAACATTTTGCTTTTATTTTAAGTATGACATTGGTCTTACAGTAAAAGTACTATGGAAATTTTAGTTTTTATAAATATATCACAACCTCTTCTAGTTGATGATATTCCATTACAGTATAACAAGATGAAATGATTAGCTCAAGACTTATTGACGGCATCTTGACTGTGTTTACTCTTATAATCATGAGAAGCACTGTTTCACATCATAAGTTGTGATGCATAATAAGTATATAATAGGCCTGTAGTTTATTATGTTAGAACGTGCTTTAAATTTTTTAGTTTTTGGTGGTACTAGAAATTGAACTTGGATGCTTTACCACTGAACTACATCCCAGCCCTTTTTATAGGACAAGGTCTTGCTAAGTTGCCCACACTGGCCTTAAACTTGGAGTCCTCCTGCTTCAGCCTTCAGTGTAGCTTGGATCAGAGGTGTTCACCACCATGCCTGATCAGGAACCTTTAAAGGAGAAATTGTTACAATTTTTAGGTAGGGAGTTCAGGTTGGCATTGAACTTACTATGTAGCCCAGGGTGGTCTTGAACTTGTGGTGATGCTCTTGCCTCAGCCTCCTGAGTGATGGGATTACAGGTATGCACCACCATACTCAGCATGTCCTCTTTGATTTTAAAGGTAGAAAGCCTTTTAAAAAGAATTTATAAGATTGTTTTTAAAGTTATAGGTGCCTATGCATGTGTGCTCAGTTTCAAGATTTGCATATTTGAAAATTCACTAGAAAACATCAATCTGAATGTGAATGTAAACTTCATTTGCCCAATAGTACAGGGCACAGTATTTTTATATTGGTTTTATATTGCCATTTCCCATCTATACAACTGTGTCCATTTCTCTCCCAGTTTATACTATATATAATAAAATATTTTTTGAAATTTACTTATTTATTTATTTATTTATTTTTGGTACCGGGGATTGAACTCGGGACCTTCTGCTTGCGAGGTAAGCAGCAGAACTACTGAGCTAAATCCCTGGCCCATTTTTTTGAAATTTATGAGCAAGGATATTTAACCTTCATTTTTATTTTGAGGAGGGCCATGTTTGGTAGGTATCTGGAAGTAGATTGGAGCATGTTATTTAATTCACTGAACAAAAACCCATGTCCACTCTGTGTGAACACTGAAAAATGATGGCGATACAAAAATGGTTAAGTAATAATCCTTGTACTTAAGGACTTAGTGTGTAACAGTAGCATCCTAGGAAGCCAAAACTAGGCTTTTGAGAGTTCCCATTAACTTATGTTAAGGGATTTTTTCAAGAAATAGGTCCTTATACTTTTAAATGAGATAAATCAGACACACATGTTTAAATGCTGCATTGTTTCTTGGGTGTGAGAAACTGAAAATGGAAATAAGGACCAGAAGGTATAACAGGTATTGGGAAATGGAAAGAAAATGTTCAAATGAGAAGGGGAAAAAGGGAGGGGGGGAAGGGGAAAGGAAAGAAGGGACAAGGAAAAAAAAGAATAGAAGGAAAAAATGGAAACAAAGCTTTTGTAAATAAGGGAAAGAGGGGCCAAAAATAACAGAGGAGAATGAGAAAAAAAGAAGCAAGATATATCATGTACAGATACAAATTCTGTATGATGAATGTTATTATGTATATCTAAAATGTACCAATAAATGTTTTGCTTCAAAAAAACCCCATTAAAACATTAAAAAACATTAAAAAAATGAAAGTGTTAAATCCCAATGGGTCTTTTTTTTTTTGCACAAATAAAAAAAATAGATCCTTGAACTTCTCTATTTGTAAATAAAGTTATTGAGGTTATTCCTTGTTATACAGAATACATTTCATGCAGATCATAAGAGAAATTTCTTAAATCAGGAATATTTATGCTTTTTTAAATGATTAATTTATTTTAATGAAAATGTCTAAATTGCGGTTTTAACCATTGTGTGGTTCTAGAGCTTAAAGCCAGACTGTAGCAAACCCTTAACAAGTGTATATCACTCTTTGATATATATTTCATAGGTTAGCTTCAGTCCATGCTCTGTTTGTGTTCCAGTCCTTATTTTTCCATTATTGAATCTTTTTACTTCTAATTTAGGTTTTTGTTGTTATACATTACATTTTAACTGCTTTAAATCATTTTAGGAATAATATGGCTTGTTAAGATTTTTTGAAGTTTTATTTATTTCTCTTTTGTGGTGCTGGGTAATCAAACCCAGGTTCTCAATCATGCTAGACAAGTCCTTTACTACTGAGCTATACCTCAGACCATATATATATATATATATATATATATATATATATAATTATTTTTAGACTACACAGCAAAATTTTGATAGGTGAGCAGAAATTTACTTCTCTTTTTTCTTCATTAAAGCTTTTATAACATTGCCAATACCCTTAGCAAGCCAATTAATACTGCAAAATAACTTAAAACCTTTGATTATATAATATCTCTCGTAAGCTTTTTAAATGCCTATTTTTTTCTGATTGTAGAATATATGGATATTCATTGTAGAAAATTACAATTAGAGAGATATATTAAAACAAAAACCATCTATTTCCACCGCTAAGTGATAATTGCTATGAGAATTTTATTTTCATCTAGTCTTTCTTCATCATTCAAACATCATTCTGTACTTACTGCTCTACAGATTACTTTTTTCTAAAGTAATATGTGAATTTCTTGTAAAAATTATTATCAACATGAATTTCTTAGTGTGATTTTTAGTGATTATTTTATTTATGTATGTATTTATTTATTTATTTTGGTTATGTTATAGTCCATAACATAGAGATACTGTACTTTACCTGTAGCCTCTCCATCTGCATCTCTAAGATTATTTCACTGTTAACATTTGTATTACTGAGATATCTTTATAATATTTAGCCACATCTATGATTATTTCCTAAGGTTAACTTGTAGCAGTGGGGTTACTGAATCAAAGTATATGAACTGTTCTTTCCTTTTACTAGTTTTCTAAAAAGTATTACTATGAATATTTTTTAAATAATCAAAATTAGAGTAGTAAAATTCCAAGAACTCATCCATCAGCAAGGTGTGACTGTTTTTAAGACTCTTAACAGATATTATGTAATGGATTTCTGGAAAGAGAAATGTATAATGTCTAATTTCCATTTATATCTGTACTATATGTGTGCATATCCCACATCTTCCTTATCTTAGTTACCTTTCTGGTTGATGAGACAAAATACCTGACACCCACAAGTTAAGGGCAGAAAGGTTTATTTATCTCACAGTTTGTAGGGGTTTCAGGGCATGGTCAGCTGGCTCTTAAGGCAGGATGGCATGGGAGAAGGGTATCACAGAGGAGAAAACAGTTTATGGCATGGCAGGACAGGCAGAAGGCAGCAAGCAGCAAGCTTTCTTTCTGTCCCTTATATTCCATCCAGGCTACCCGCCCTTTGGGTAGGTAGCATTCATACCCAGGATAGGACACCCTTAATTCCAGCATCACATCCTTAATCCCAGCATCACACATTTTAGATCCATTCACCTCCAAAAAGCCCCACCTATGACCAATATGAGGCTTTGGGGGAACATCTAGATACAAGCCATAATAGTCCTTGATAACATATCTTTACCAAATTGATAGGTTAAGAGTAAAGCTTAGTTATTTTAATTCAGTATGTTAATTACTAGTGAGTTTGATATATTTAAAAATGTTTATTTTTATTAGTACACATTTGTAGTACGTAGGATAATTATATTCATTGTGTGGAGTTGGTACACATGCATAATGTATCTTAATTCTCTGTTCATCCCCTTCCACTTTCCCCTTCATTTCTTATTATCCTTTTCTTTTGCAAAAGATCTATCTCTTGATTCCTCTTATTATCTATATTGTTTTTACTCTTTTTACCTTGGGTTGTATCTGATTTAACATTATGGTCTCAAGTTGCATTCATTTGCCTACAAATGATTCAAATTTACCTTTCTTTGTAGCATAGTAATACTCCATTGTATATAAATATTGTATTTTCTTTATCTGTTCATATGTTGATGGATATAGGCCATTTTCAAGATTTAGCTATTATGAATTGTGCTGCTATAGACATAGGTATGCATCCATCATTGTAATATTCTTTTTTTTTTGGTACCGGGGATCGAACTTGGAACCTTGTGCTTGCGAGGCAGGCGGCAGAACCACTGAGCTAAATCCCCGGCCCAAGTTGCACATTTTCTGATTGGGTGAGGGGGTCTAATTTTCTGTTTTAGTTCTTTACATATTCTAGATATTAGTCCTCTGTCTGAGGAGTAGCTAGCAAAATTTTATCCCATTCTGTAGTTGTCTGTTAACTCTGTTGACTGTTTCCTTTGTTGTGTAGAAACTTTTTGATGTAATTCCATTTGTTGATTCTTGATGTTATTTCTTGTGCAATTGGAGTTTTGTTCAGAAAGTCCTTCACTACCTCTATGATTTCAAGGGTTTTACCTATTTTCTTCCAATGGATTAAGTGTTTCTGTTTTAATATTTAGATCTTTTATCTCTTTTGATTTTAGTTTAGTACATGGTGGGAGATATAGGTCCAGGTGAAATCTTCTGCATATGAATAGCAAATTTTCCCGGCACCATTTGTTAGAGAGGGTATCTTTCTTCCAGTGTATGCTTTTGGCCCCTGAGGTCAAAGATCAGATGACTGAATATTCCTGGGGTTGTTTCTGCATCCTCTGTTTTGTTCCATTGATCCATATGTCTACTTTTGTGCCAGTAGAGATTTGACATTTAAAAATGTATTTAGTAGCCAGTTTGTTAACTTGCTATTAATTTATTGTAGGCTTGGGGAGGTGTAAAAGTTTGAATCTTTACCAAAGTCTGGAAAGCGTCTCTTAGTTTTTATGCTTTAAAAGCCCTTTCACCATCTTAACATCTGGAAAAATTCACCTGTGTTTTCTTTTAGTTTCTGCAGAGTTTTAATATTTAATGCTAAACTTGTTGAGAATTTTTTGTTTGTGTGTGTGTGTATATGTGTGTGTGTGTGTGTGTGTGTGTGTTACTAAGGGTTGAACCCACAGTGAGCTACATCATCCCCAGCCCTTTTTTATTTCTTATTTTGAGATAGGATCTCTGTAAATCACTAAGTTGCCCAAGCCCGACTCAAAACTGGTGATCCTCTTGCCTCAGCCTCCCAGAGTTCTGGGATTACAGGTGTAAGCCACTAGGCCTAGCCTCCAATGTATTTAATATGGTATATGACTAACCGAAATTGTTTTATTCCTTTAAATACAATTTTCAAAGCACTTATTCTTTCCTGTTTGGTTTTTGATGTTTTATTATCATACTCTTGATGGTATGTGTAGATTATCTCTTTTCTTTTACTGAATATAATAACATCCTGAAATAGAAGTTGTATTTGTGTATTTTTGGAGTTTAAATAGTGTCTATTATAACAGACAGATGCTGTCTTGTGTCCAATTTAAATATTTTCTTGTGTTTTGGTAAAGATACACTTGGGTAACTGGTAAAGAGCCACTTACATACTATGACATGAACTTGTCAGCACAGGACCATCAGACATTTTTCACCTGTGACACAGACTTTTTACGACCTTCAGACACAGGTATGTATCACATCTGTTCCTGGTAATAGACTGATTGTGAAATAATTTAAGTTTTTAAAGTTAATTATTATACACTACAAAGTTTCCAGGCATGATAGTACATGCCTGTAATCTCAGCATTGGGGAGACTGATGCAGGAGAATCTCTGCCAGTTTGAGGCCAACCTTGGCTACATAGTGAATTCAATGCCAGCCTGAACTATGTAGTGAGACCCTGTCTATTAAAAAAAAAATCTATCTATCTATCTATATGTATATATGTATATATATGTATATGTGTATATATATGTATATATGTGTATATATATGCACACAAAGTTAATTGGCTAGATGTTATTTGCATTATTAATAAGAAACTCAGATTAAATTAAAATGAATTATTATCTTTCCTTTTTATAAGAATTTAAAATATATTATGCTTCTTTTATTACTTAAAAACCTTTTACATCAAATATAGCAGAAAACAATATACCTGTTTGTGCCTGGGAAATATAATAATGCATAGGGCTGGGGATTTAGCTCAGTGGTTTCCACCACCTGTCTCATAAGCGCAAGGACCGGAGTTTGATCCCTGGTACAACAACAAAATATATATATATAAACACATAAAAAATAAGACAATGTGGAAACATTGGGGAATGGCATGTAGAAAAATACGGGATATATTTTGTTTTTCTGTAGTCATAAGTTAGAGATACATATAAAGAGGTAGATCGTAGAAATGTCTGTGTTTAGTTCTCTCTAAGCTGTTCTCTGTTGAAGAGAGTATTTACAGGTAAGGGTATAGCTCAGGGGTGGAGTATTTCATTAATATGTTTGAGGCCCTGGGTTTGAACCTCAGCACTTAAAAACAAAGAAGAAGAGGAGGAAGAAGAAGGAGGGGAAGGGGTAGAGGAAGAAGAAGAATATTGAGACCTTTAAGTTTATGGCTTAAAAACATGGATTTTTGTCACAACTCTTTTCTATTTTGAATGCCCTTACACTCTATTTATGTGATGATTTATCTTCAGATATCTTCAGGATAACTTGTAATTACTGTCCTTGCTTCTTTGAGAGATACTTTCCCAGTAGTTGTGATTTAGCACCAAAAATCATTAATTTTGCTGTTTCTTTGAGGTAATGAGTTAATTTAAAAAATTATTTGTCTTAATTAGGTGTGCTTTCACGAAAGGCCTTATTTTTAGTCCATTTTATGGGTTCATTAGGAAATTTCTTCCCATGTTATCAAACATGATGATGATTTTCTTGCTGTAAAACTTGGAAAACTTTCCCCATATCCAAGAGGCTTTATGTCTGCTAATCCTCTCCTTGGGATATGTATTATTGCCATAGCAGCACTGTCCAACAGGAAAGTAATCTTATAATTTGCACTTATGCTCACTCCCAGCTCCTTCATTTTTGCTTTAATCTATCGCGTATTTGTTGCAAACCAAATAACAGTGTCATAATCTTCATTTGGAGATGTTAGAAATTCATGAAGGCAAGTCTGTATTAATTCTGTCTGTCTCTGTACCAGCCAGACCTGTGGTCAACAATGTAGATTAATCATCTAGTACCCAAAGCTATTTTTCTTTCTTGGGAGGATTCACTATTTCCATTTTGTACTGTTTTACTCTTTGAGAAATTTTCAGTGGATTTTCTTCCCTTTGAGTCCAAGTAATTTTGGGCATTCTGGCAGTACTTCGGTAAGGGTCTTTAGAAACTGAGATCTAACACAGTATCATCCTCTGAAAGTGTAGTCACTGAATATTCCTGCCCACTCCATCTTACAAAGATAGGGAGAGCCATTCTTGAAACATAGGAAGAAGTAGCTTTCCTTTAAAAAAAAAAAAAAAAAGTGGGGTATGGCAGAACCAGCTGCGGCATTTTTTTTGTTTTTTGAGACAGTGTCTTACTATGTAGTTCAGGCTGGCCTTGAACTCACTGTTTATTTTAGGCTGGCCTATAACTTATGGTGATCCTCCTCCCTCAGCCTCCTGAGCATGGGGATTACAGGCATGTGCTATCATCACCCCAGCTAATATGTTCTTAAAGCATTTTTGTTTGAATATTTCCTAGAAGAATCTTGAAAAACTGTTTTTTAAAAAAACTGTTTTTTAGTTGATATCATAATATTAAATAATTGTGAAGAATCTAATTTTTTTTTTTTTTGGTACTGGGGATCGAACTTGGGACCTTGCGCTTACAAGGCAGGCACCAGAACCACTGAGCTAAATCCCTGGCCCCATGGATCTAATTTTTGACATGTTGCAAAATACAGACATTTAAAAATAATGTACCTTATAATTAAATGTATATCACGGAACCAAATGATTTTATCTTTTTATGTTTGTGCTGTGATTGAACCTAGGGCCTCCTGCAGGCTAAGCATATGTTCTACCACTGAGCTACATACACCTCTAGCCCTTAGAATCAAATGATTTGATACTCATTGTTATTCATTGAAAACTACACAAACAAATGCTCTTTTATAGTAGTAAACTTTATGTAAGTCCTTTTCCTTCTTGAATACATATCTATCGTACATCCCTATATAATTGTATTGTAATATAATTATTTTCTACTCCAGGGTCTTTTATTACACTTGCAAACTTTTCCACAATAAAAATTTTTATTTAAAATTTAAAAAATTTATGGGGTGGGGATTTAGCTCAGTGGTGCTGCTGCCTGCCTCACAAGTGGAAGTTCCCAAGTTCAATCCCCGGTACCAAAAAAATTTTTTTTTAATTTAAATTTTATTTGACCATAAGATTCTAAGCACTATGATGTTCTTTAATCATATTTTGTCAAATCTTTAGAGCTCCATATTTAGCTCTGTGAACTTTGGAACATGTCTTCCACATAACCTAATTGGGTGAGTGTCTACATTGTCAATGCTGTCAGTGAAATCAGACTTACTTTCTGAGAGCACGGTCTGACTTCATTTTTAATTCAAATGAACACGTTAACATGCATCTCCACAACAACTAGCCCTCTTCTGAATTTACATTCTAAGAAAGAAAGAGAGCTAAATCTTGGAGCTTTCTGAGAGCTCAACACTTGGCCCAAATAAGGCTCTACTTTTTTTTCCCTTACTAATGTCCCTTTTGCCTTGCTGTGAGAGGACCTCCCTTAGAAGTAATGCATCTTTTGATAGTAACTGGGGAGAAGTGCTAATGGAACTAATAAAAATTGTAATATACTTGAATCCAAACTACTGAAAGGTCAATATACTCTGTTTCTTAGAGGTAGTCTCCACTGTTAAAAGAAATAAGTAAAAGTATAGGGTGCCTCAATTTAAAATAGCTACCCCTAAACCCAAAGTGCATTGGCACCTGGAGATTTTTACATTCTAGCAAGGCAGTGCACCTCAGAAAGATTTAAAATGGCAAAGAAGTGAGCCTTTCTTATGAAAAATAGGAGAAGGGAACATATCTCTTAGGGTAAGGGGTATAGAGAATTATGGTTAGGTAGGAAAGGAAAACAGGGCAATGAAAAGACTAATAAGAACATCTTCAGGTAAATAAGTTATAAGAAAGAGTCATAAAGTTGAGGCTTTAGAAATTCTGTTAAAACCATGCATGGTGTTTTTGTTTCATAGTACATCTAGAGTTAATGTATAATACAGCTGAAGACTGAACTCAAGAACAGACTATCAAAGAAGAAACTATCTATTGAATGACAATTCAGAAATAGCCTGTTGGTTTCATCTTGATCCTTTCAGACACTCACATAAAAGCGATAATTTAGAGCCACTGTGGTGGTGCACGCCTGTAATTCCAGTACTCAAGAGGGTGAGGCAGGAGGATTGGTGCGAATTTGAGGCCAGCCTGGACTACATAGTGAGACCCTGTCTCAACAAAACCAAAAATGAATGAATGAATGAATGAATGAATGAGTAAATAAATAAATGGCAACGATTTATATTTTAAAAAGACAAATGTGTGTATGTGTTGATATAGCAAGTTTCCCTTGACTTACTGTTATCAGTAATCATTAAGATATTAGGTTTTGTTCTCATCTTATTGACTTGTTTATAAGGCAAGAGACGAAATATATCCTCAAGGGTAAGCCAGGAATGTTTTTGGAATTGGTTTCATTCACCGTTTAAAAATCAGGTTATGGTTGTGGCAAAATGCACCTGTAGTCCCAGTTACTCAGAAAGCTGAGGTGAGTGGATTGCTTGAGCCCAGGAGTTTGGTGCCAGCTAAGGCAACATAGGGAGACCCTGTCTCAAAAACAAGAGAAAAACTCCCAGAAAATCAGATTTTACCTTAAAAATCCAGATTTAAAGTGGGTGTGGTAGCACATGCCTGTAATCCCAGCACTCTGGGAGGCTGAGGCAGGAGGAACACAAGTTTGAGCCCAGCCTGGGAAATTTAGGAACCTAGCAAGGCTTTGTCTCTAAATAAAAAATAAAAAGGGCTGGGGATGTAGCTCAGTGAGAACAAAAGTATTGATTCAGTTCCCAGTACCACTTAAGTAAATAAATATCCATATTTATACTTTTTTGAAAGTTGGGAAATATAGAAAAACAGGACCTATACTTTCTGCTTGGCAGTAATCAGCTGGAGCTGAGTTGTGGCTGCCCTCTTAAGACAATACGTGTGCAGGCACCGTGCCTGGCTGGCAAGTGCAAGGTCCTGAGTTTGATTCTCAGTACCAAAAAAAAAATTAAAATGTTAAGACAAGACAATGCATGTGCTTTTAGTTCACTCTTATGCTTCCTGACTGGCCTTAGTAGGCATTTACATTTGTGATCCCTGACCTGGGCATAACTGCTGGTCTCTTTTGTGCTTAATAGACTATTAAAGTATTACTTAATTTGAAAATAATTAAATCTTCCAGGCATGGTGGTACATGCCTGTAATCCTAGCACTTGGGAGGCTGAGGCAGGATGATGGCTGTGAGTTTGAGGCCAGCCTGGGATACAGTGTGTTCAAGGCTGCCCTGAACTACATAGTAAGACTCTGTCTCATAACAAAACAAAATAAAACAAAACAATGAATTTGAATTTTGCTGATTGCTTGTGTTAATTATATAACTTTAAACATATCCTGAGCTCTTAAAGAGAACAGCTGATTACTAAATCAGCATTTTTTTTAAAATTATTTCTAAAATCAGGTGTGGAATTTTCCACTTGTGGTTTCCACTTATTTTAGAAAAAATACACTATTTTGTCTCAATTTTTGAGACAGTCTCACTAAATCGCTGTGTTGCCCAGGCTGGGCTTGAATTTACAGTCCCACTGCCTCAGCCTCCCAGAGTGCTGGATTACAGGTGTGTGCTGCCATGCCCTGCTAGTGTTCTTCCTTTACTTTATTTCTTTCTCTTTAGGCTTAGGACTATCTTGATTTTGAAGAATATCTTGAAAGGCTGGATAGAGCATTTGAAAACATAAGAATAAGGAAAGTAGATTTAAAAGTAGATTAGATAACCTCATCAAAAAAAAACCCATACAAATGAAAATGAGATTGTTTTTGTGTTTTAAGTTAGCAAAGATTAATAATACAAGGCTGGGTATATAGCTTAGCGGTGCCACTTCTGCCTAGTGAGTTCAAGGTCCTGAGTTTGTTTCCTGGCATTGGGAAAAAAAAATACTAAAGATTGATAATACAGATTGAGTAACCCTTACCCAAGTATTTTGCATTTTAGATTTTTTCAGATTGTAGAATATTTTTGTATACATAATGAAACATCTTGGGTGTGGAACCCAAACCTAAAAATAAAATTTATTTATGTTTCATATACATTTTATACATATACAAGGACTGATCAAAAATAGTGTTTCAATTTTTAAAATTTATTATATTAAAAGACACATTGTCATAAATCTTCATACTTCACATTTCTAACAAGCTTTTTCTATCATTTTTGTCACTTTAATTTTTTGTTTTTTGAGACTGGGTCTTGCTATGTAGTTCAGGCTGGCCTTGAACTTATTATCTAGCCCAAGCTAGCCTTGAATTTGCAGCATTCTTCCTGCCTTAGCCCCCAAAATGGAAGGATTACAGATGTGTGCCACCAAACCAGCCTCTTAACACTTTCTGAAGCACTTCTGGAAGCCCTCTTTCATGAGTGTCTTTTTTATGGCTGCCTCAATATTCTGAATCAATTCAAAAGTGTTTGTGGTAATTTCTGTCAAATAAAATGTTATGATCTGTCTTCATCTACCTTATTTACTGGATCTGGTGCTCTGCAACCTCTACCTCTTCCCCAAAGCCAAAATGACCATGAAAGGTAAACATTTTGAATTGATTCAGGATATCACGGCAGTCAGGACAGCACAACTAAAGGCACAAAGGAGAACTTATAGCTTGTAAGTAATTCCTTACAGTATTTTTAGTGTACTTGTGTTTTGACCGCAACCCATCACATGAGGTTAGGTGTGGAATTTTCCACTTATGGTTTCATGTTTTGCATTTTGGATTCTTTCAGATTTTGGATTTTTGGATTAGGGATGTTCAATTTGTACTGCATTAGTAAGGATGTAAAGAAACAGTTACTGTCCCATATTGCTTTATTAGTGTATGTTAATACAATCTGTTTGAGAAGAATTTGGGAGTATATACCCAAAATCTTTTAAAATATGCATATATTTTTACCAACTATTCTACTTCTAAAAACGAAATACAGTGATACCTCAGTTGTTGAACTCAGTTTGTTCCAAATTCATGTTTGAACATCGAAAAGCTTAAGAACTGAACATATTTTTTCCATAAGAAATAATGGGACCAATATGGGTTCTGAGGCCCAAAAATTACACTTATAAATGCATTTTTCTATGACTTTTAACGAATTTCACAATGATTTCTTTCTTTTAACTCTATGGAGGTTCTCACAGGTTTCCTCTTAGATTTACTGCTGGTATCACTAACTTTTTGGGGGGCCATGGTTATGCTATTTTATGTAAATAAAGTGCAAATAAAAAGCACAATGGTGAATGTGTTAGTGTACTAACCCAATCACCATGTGGTGTCTGGGTGAGAGTGGTGCTTTGACTGAAGTATCACTCCTTGTCTGCCCTGAGACAGGACACGTGACTCACTTTGGGCTTATATAGGTTTTTTCAAGTCAGATTTTCAGTTCAACTATCAAGCAAAGTTAGGAACACTGAAGAGATTTTTTTTAAACTTTGCAATTTGAGTAGTGGAAAGTTAGAGCTTGGAGCTGTTTGGCATCCAAGGAATCATTGTATTTGGTCAGATATACAAAGATAGATACTGAAAGAGTATTATCATATTCTTTTTATTTTACTTTTATGGTACTGGGGATTGAACCCAGGCCCTTTTCACTATACTACATCCCTATCCCTTAAAAAAATTTTTTTTGTGGTTTTTTTGTGCAGGCTGTCCTTGAACTCACTATGTAGCCCAGGCTGGCCTCAAACTCAAGGCGATCCTTCTGCCTCAGCCTCCCCAGAGCTGGAGTGTGCCACCACACCTGGCTAAATTTTTTTTTTTAATTTGGAGACAGGATTTCACTAAGTCACTAAATTGCCCAGACTGGGCTTGATCTTGAGGTCCTTTTATCTCAGCCTCTTAGAGTACTGGGATTCAGACATGTACCACAGTGCCCAGCTGTCACAGTTATCAAAGCATTGGATATAACTTCAGTTGTCCATCAAAAGGGAATTGGTTAAATAATTATTATATATACTTCATAAACTAGAATATTAAATAACCATATTAGATGTTGTTAAAGAGTCACCATTAAAATTCGACTTATAAATATCATGTAACTTATAGAAAAGAGCCTCATCATCAAAAATCACAAGTCTAATATTAAAGTCCATTTTTGTGTAGCATTTTCCTGTTCCAGTAGAATGATGTACTTTACCTGGTCAGTATCACATGGGTGCTGACTTGCATCAGTTTGTCAAGCTCAGGAAGCATTTAGCTGTCAGCTAGCTGGTGACATATTTGATATGACAAATGTATTTTTGTTACGCAGTGAAATATATTGTCTCCTTTTCTAAGCCAAGACTAATATTTTGTTTCCAAAGGAAAACTCAAACATTTTCCACATTATTCTTTCTGGACAGTCATGGGTTTTGTTCCAAAATCAACACTTATATGTTCTCTTTTTTTCCTTATCAAACTTAAAATAAGCCAGATAGTTTCATGACTCTATTTTGTTTATTTGTTGGGTTAATTTTTAAGAGATGTTACTTAGTGTGATATCTTCATGTTCGTACAGTAAATGGTAGCCCAACTAATATTATTCCAGAGAAATCCTAACTCAGGCTTTTGTTAAATCTTGGTAAAGCTGACATTTTCCAGAGATGTATTATATTCTAAATTAATTCATTCTCTCTTCCTGCTTTTTATATAAAATGTAAATCCACACATTCTTCCTAGAGTCAATCATTGATTAGACTTGACTTTGTTTTTAAGTTCTTGTATCTCTTTAGCAATTCCATAGAATCTTTTCAGAATGATGAAAGTAGAACTGGAATACTTCATATTGATTATAATGTAATGTTATTCACCCTTAATTTTAACATGCATTTAGATCTATAAATGTTCATGTATAATAATGGTGTAATTAACTTAAATAACTTATTCAAGTCAGAAAAAGAATATTTTATGTAAAACTTCCAAATTTAATGTAAAATTTTCATAAGGTTAATGTGAACTAGTAATCTAGTTTCTTGTTTTATATGTTTAAGAACATGTTGTTTAAAGCTTTATTTACTCTCCTTGCTCTTTCTTCATACATTTTGCATAAGATTATTTATGTTTACCATCTCATCTGCTTTTGAAATATTTTTCCTACAGTTATGCAGAAGGCATGGAGGGAAAGAAATCCTCCAGCTCGAATCAAAGCAGCCTATCAAGCTTTAGAATTAAACAATGAGTAAGTTTTAAATATATGAAAAATAAGTTTGTTTTAAAGAAACCCAGGCAAATGGTTTTACATTTTTTTTTTGTCTGTTCCTAAGACACTTAGTCATTAGTGTCACCTTTTTTTTTTTTTTTTGCATTCTAGAGATAAAATTTGCAGCATTCATTGACATTTGTATTTTGCTTCTGAAATTGTAAATTTATGCTTTTAAGTAGAAATTATGTTAGGGATTCTTTTTAAAATGAGAATACTGATGGAGAAATAATAATACTTAATTGTTAAAAGGGTACTAACATACTTATGCCACTGTTTTAATTTTGTTTTTCCTTTAAAGCATTCATTCAGTCCTGCAAACTTCAGTTGTTAATGGACCTGGTGGCATAAGAGGATTCAAAATAAGTAAATCATAGCTCTGTCAACTTAATTGCTTTTTCATGTTAACAGAACTTATTTTTTGTATCTCTTTGTATCAACTTTATATTTTGAGAAGATAAAATGTAAAATTATGAGTCAAATTAGTATTTAAATGGGAGACATTAATAAATATTAATCAAATACATATGAAATAAATGAGAGTAAAAATACAGTCCCGATTGGAGTCACTCAGGAGTGCTTCCCAGATAATGGAAATTGAGAATTTTCCTCTGAAAACTCCCAGTAGATCCATTATCCTCATTAAGAAGAACTTCCAAAGGTGAAGCAAAAATGGGCAGAGCAGTGAACTCCAAAATAAGTGAATAAACTGACAAGAATTGTCATAATGAAAATAGTCAAAAGTTTACAATAACCTGGGGAATGCTTAATCGGGAAAAATTACTAAATTTCTGTAAGAGAGCTAGCTCTGTGGTATTTTTAACTCACCCTAGCTCCATCGTTCACTGCCTAGCTCCGTGGCAGCCTTGACAACAGTGCACATTCCAAGTGCAGCTTTCCAGTGCTGGAAGAAGTAAAATGGACTTTATTCTCAAGGAACTGGTTATTTTGACCTGTGGGGTGGTAACCTGCAGGACCACCTCAGAGGGCTTACCTTTATTTCATCTAACTTGAACTTCTCTCAGCATTGAATTTACTACCCTTGGGGAACATTTATTGAAAACACAGCCAAATATATTAGCCACTGTACCTAGAATAGGGGATACAGCTGTGGCAAAGAGGGAGCGAGAGAGAGAGAGAGAGAGAGAGAGAGAGAGAGAAATAGACAAACCAGAAGGCTTATGTGACATTTAGGGGGAATAAAGACTTTCAAAAGCTCCCATATATTCCTGGGAATCTCAGAGGCTCTATACTTGGCTAGAGTTGGGCCCATGGTCAGAAAAGACTTGAAAACACCTGACGCTCTGGTTAACCTTCAGATTATATACAAGCAGGAAGTGAAGGCTAGGACAGAGTTGTAAACTGTCTGACTGAATGTTAAAGCTGTGCCCCAGCACACAAACACAAAGAGCCCATGGGAAGGACTTGTTTTTCTGTATCTGTGAGTTTCGTTTATGTTTTGGTTCTGCTATTTAAGGAAATCTCTATCAAAACATTAACTGACTACTGTGCTGACATCACAGACCTCATTGGCCATGCATGACAGAGAACATCGATTTTACAACTGGCTCTAGAAAGTCACTAAACAAACAACTACAATAAGCACCAAGAAAAAGGGAATGGAGGCAATTTGCTTTCTAGATTTGCCAGAATATATATATGGTCCATATACCAGAAAGAAAAGAAATTAATAGAAACTGCCTCTGAAGAAGCTTAGTTTGGACTCCATAGAATTTAAATAAACTATTTTAAATATGTTCAAAGAGGTAAAGACAATCATGAGAATGATGGGCTCAGATTATAGACATCAATTAAGAGAAAGAAATAATAGAAAGAAACTAAGCTGAGAATTTAAAATTAAAACATATAACTGAAATGAAAAATTTACTGTAAGAGTTCATTAGTAGATTTGAGCAGGAAAAAGAAAGAATCAACAAACTTGAAGAAGGTCAGTTGAGACTAGATAGTCTAAGAAGCAGGAAAAAATAAAGGAATGCAGAAAAATAAAGTATCTAAGAGGCCTGTGGGACACTAACAGACATCCCTACCTGTGATAATGGGAATCCCAGAAAAGAGAGAGAAAAGACAGAAATAATATTTTAGGAAGTAATGGCCCAAATCAGAATCCTAGTATACCAAATCCAGAAGCATCATGAAAGCATTATATGCCCTGACCAAGTGGGGTTTATTCTTGGAATGCAAGAATGATTCCACATATAAAAATTGATCCATGTAGTACACCACATTAACAGAATGAAGGAAGGAATCTGCATGATTGTCTTGATGCAGAAAAAAGTATTTGACAAAATCCAACACCCATTCATGATAAAAAATACATCAGAATCAATTAATGGCCAGGCATAGTGGTGCACGCCTCTAACTCCAGCACTTCGGAGGCTGAGGCAGGAGGATTGCCGTAAGTTCAAGGCCAGCCTGAACTACATAGCAGACCCTGTCTCAAAATAAAACAAAAAATAATGTAATATATCATACTGATAGAAAAAGATTTTAAAAATGTGATTATCTCAATTGATGCTGAAAATGACAAAATCCAACACTATTTTATCATTTTAAAAACACTAAAAAATTAATGTAAGGAATCTTTCTCAACCTGACAAAGAGCATCTATGAAAAATCTACAGTTAACTACTGTATATGCTTAATGATAAAAGGCTGAAAGCTTTCCAAGATCAGAAATAAAGCTGGGATGCCTACCCTCACTGCTTCTATTTAACTTGATACTAGAGGTTCTAGCCAGGGCAGTTAGGCAAGAAATAGAAAAAAAAAAAAGGTGTCAGAATTGGAAAAGAAGAAATAAAACTATCTCTGTTCACAAATAAGATGATCTTATATTCACAAAATCTTAAAGAATTCATGCAGAAAAAATAAACCCTATAAGAACCAATAAAAGAATTAAAAATGGGTTGGGGATATAGCTCTGTGAGTAGAAAGAACACTTGCCTAGCATGTATGAAGTCCTGAGTTCTATCCTCAGTACTGGAAAAGAAAAAAAAATAGTTAAAAATGTTGCAAGAGACAAGCTCAATATATAAAAATTAGCTGGGGCTGGGGATGTAGTTCACGGTACAGCGCCTGCTTGACAAGGTAAGGCTCTGAGTTCAATTCCCAGTACTAAACCAAAAAAAGCTGTATTTCAGTACAATAGCAATGAACAATTTCCAGTTCTACTTAAAATAGCATCAGAACTAATAAAATACTTAGGAATAAATTTAACTAAAGAGGTGCGAGGCTTGTAGAGTGAAAAATAGGAAACATTGTTCAAATAGTTAAAGAAGACCTAAATAAATGGAAAGATACCCTCTGTTCATGTCAGTACTCACCCAAGCTGATTTACAGATTCAATCCACAAGGCTGAGGCAGAGGCTTGCATGTCCAAGGCCAGCCTAGTAATTTAGGAAGACCCTGTTTCAAAACACAAAAGGGCTAGGGATATAGCTCAGTGATAAGAGTTTTATAGTGTTTGGGTCCAGTCCCCACCACTAAAATAAAACAAAAAAACCAAGAAAAACCAAAAAACAAACCTGGATTTTGCAGTGGCTTATTAATGACATCAAAAGCAAAAGGTATAAAAGAAAATATAAATAAATTAGAATTTATCAAAGTTAAAATAATTTGTACATTAAAAGACTATCCAAAAAAAAAAAGATACTATCATGACAAAATAGATTTGTGATTGCCAAGGGTCGAGGAAGATGGCTAATGACCGTTATGAGGATGATGAAGATATTTTGGAATTCTGTAGCAGTGACAGCTGCACAATGCTGAGAATATATTAAAAGTCTCTGAATTATACACTTCAAATTGTTCTAGACTGTGAATTTTGGCATGGGAATTTAACATAAGTTTAAGAAAATGGCATTCCCCAAAGTAAGATCTATTAGGAATTTGTAATTTCTTGTATTAACATCTCCAAATGCAAGAAAGCCTTAAGGGAAGAAAAACCTCTTTGGGCACGGGATTTAGCTCAGTGGTTTCGCCACCTGCTGTGCAAGCGCAAGGACCCGAGTTTGATCCCCGGTACCAAAAAAAAAAAAAAAAAGAAAAAGAAAAACCTCTTTGTACTATGCAGCTGTAATATAATTTAAAATTATATTTAGGCGCTGGGCTGTAGCTCAGTGGTAGAGTGCTTGCCTAGCATGTATGAGCAAGTCCCTGGTTTCAATCCCCAATACTTCAAATGATAAGTGTGTGTATGGTTTTTTTTTTTGGTACCGGGGATCAAACTCGAGACCTTGCACTTGCAAGGCAGGCACTGGGACCACTGAGCTAAATCCCCAGCCCACTTCAAATGATAAGTAATAAAATTATTTTATATTTAGATTCTGTTGCATTGCTTTTTATCCATCTAGATCTTTTGAGAAGTATTTTGTTATGGTTTTTTTAAAGATATTTGACTTTGTTTTTGGAAATGGCGGTCAGAATGCCTAGCGTTTAAAGGAGAAGTATATCTGTTTCAGAAAAATCCAGTATAAAATACTGGAGGAATCTTTGCTGATTAGTGAAATTATCATATAGTTTAGATATACTGCTTGAAGGTTGTCTCAATGGTATAATTTGCATTTCTATAACTGAAAGACCCCTGTTGATCTTAATTGATGATAGCTATTTTGCCATCACTTTTGTTTCATGCCTGTTCTTGTACCACTATTTCTTCTCTTGCTTAGATAAGCTCTGTTCAATTGAAATATAAGTGAACCTTATATGTAACTTTAAATTTTCTAGTATGTAGTCATTTAAAAAGTGAAAAAGAGAAATAAATTTGAAGTGTTCTATTAGCTATATTTAAAAAATTGGTTTAACTTATATTTTTAAAAACTATTGTTAAACAGCTTCCTGTCACTATGACCAAATGCCTGAATAAATCAAGAGGAAGTGTTTATTTTTGTTTCCAGTTTCTGAGGTTTCAGTCCATAGTCACTTAGCCCTGTTGCTTCTAGGCCTGTTGTAAAGCAGAAAAATCATGGCAGAAGGGTAGAACAATGGAAAGCTGCTCATTCAAGATAGCTAGGAAACAGAGAGACAGAGACAGAGACAGACAGACACAGACAGACAGACAGACAGACAGGAAAAGAGCCGGAAAGGAAGGGGCCAGGGAAAAGATATACCCTTCAAAGATATGCACTCAGTGTTATTAATTCTTCCAACTCAGCCCTACCTCCTAATAGCCAATTCAGCCACAAACTAACTCATCAATGGCTAGCATCCTCTTAGTCCAGTCATCTCTCTAGACCTCATCTCTGCACATGTGAGTCTTTGGGGGACATTTTAAATTCAAATAATAACTACTAATGAAATAGTTCACATTTTTCTTAGTCTTCAAAATTCCATGGTCCTTTTACACTTACATCGCATCTCAATTCGTACTAGCAACATGCGGCTACTGACTGGAATGCTGGATCATGCAGGCACTGATAATCTGAACTAATACATTATCCCCAGAAGAGATATACTTGTTATTTCTGGGAATAGAAAGGAAACTTGCTGTTTCTATGTTTTGGTTTTTTGCACAAAACCAAGAATTAGTTCATCTTATTAGCGAGCTATTAACTTAAAAGATACAAGGTGGGCCGGGGATTTAGCTCAGTGGTTTTGCCACCTGCCTCACAAGCACAGGGACCCGAGTTCAATTCCCAGTATGAAAAAAAAAAAAAAAAAAGATACAAGGAAAAATTTCTGGTTTAGTAAAGAAAAGTTGGAGTAAGCACAGGTATAAGGAGACAGAGTAGGAGGATAGAAGAAAGAAGTAGAATTCAGATGAAGGGAAGTTATGCTGCATATAGAATTTTGTGTGTGTGTGTGCTGGGGATCGAACTCGGGACCTTGTGCTTGGAAGGCAGCCGGCAGAACCACTGAGCTAAATCCCCAGCCCCTAGAATTTTTTGTTTGTTTGTTTTTGGTGCCGGAGATCGAACTCAGGACCTTGTGCTTAGAATTTTTAAAAGATAGAAAATAAAAAG